TGTATACAATGTATTATCAATATCGTGTTTACATCGTTTGCATTGTAGTGTGCACGATATTATGTCAACATTATTTATAATGTTTGAAATGTAATAAAATGTTTACATCGTTTACATCGATATATTACAACTTATTAACGACATAATTAGTATTGATTACAAATGTGTCAATTTTTTGTAATTGGATAACTATACGGAGATGTCAGTATATATTCAGGAAACTGCCGGGGTATATACTACATTTGTTAACCCAATTGGAACATCAACAACGTCATCATAGTAAACGTTACTATGTGACGTAGTCTTAAGCTATGCAGAACACTTAAAGAATGTAAGAGGTTCTCAGAGGGAAAATTATGTTTTTAATTTAAAACCACGCTATTTACACATTCAATACTTAAGTAATGTCTTAAAGTGCTGTTACAAATTATTGCATATATGATAGAATTATTTTCACAGCAAATTATAAAATCATTTACATATGCGGAAAATATCAAGTTATTTTTTTCAGTATTTGTTGTTGTTAAAAAAAATACATAGAAAATACAAACGGTATACATGAAACCTTAAAACTTTATTGAAAAATATCAATAAAGAAAAAAAAATATTTGAGAAGATGGAAAACTTGTATTTAAAAGAATAACACAAAATATTAAGAAATAATAAACATGTACTGAATATAAATACTGCGTGATGAATGTTAAACAAATACCTGATATTGATAAAAAAAATAAGCAGGGATAATTAGTTACATATGTGTAATTCGTATTTCAGACAGGGTATATAATGTGACATTCCCGGCTTAGGGTTTATACGTTGTGAACGATGTAAACAGAAAGGTATAGATTTCATGTACAACATAAACACGATGTTGACACGGTATTGTCAACATCACGATGTATACGACGTGAACGATGTAAACACAAAGGTATAGACTTTGTATACAATATAATCACGATATTGACACGATGTTGTTAACATTGCGATGTATACGATGTGAACGTTGTAAACACAAAGGTATAGACTCTATATACAACATAAACATGATGTTGACACGATATTGTTAATATTGCGATGTATACGATGTGAACAATGTAAACAGAAAGGTATAGACTCTATATACAACCTAAACTTGATGTTAACACGATATTGTTAACATTGAGATGTATACGATGTGACCGATGTAAACACAAAGGTATAGTCTTGCTACACAACATTAAAACGATGTTAACGATGTGAACGATGTAAACACGATATTGTCAACATCACGATGTATACGTTGAGAACGATGTAAACACAAAGGTATAGACTCGATATACAATATAAACACAATGTTGACACGATACTGTTAACATTGCGATGTATACGATGTGAACGATGTAAACAGAAAAGTATAGACTCTATATATACAACATAAACACGATGTTGAAACAATATTGTCAACATCATGATGTTTACAATGTGAACGATGTAAACACAAAGGTACAGTACATATATATAGATAGGATACAATGTAAACACAATAATGACACGATAAAGTATACATTGCGATGTTGACAATATCGACAAAACATCGTGCACTGAACATAGCTATCTTATAGTCCACATATAGTAATATGATAGGTTGTCAGTTCTTTAGAAAAATTTTTGACTTACCTTCCTTTGGTATAAAGTAATGAGTCCCTGTCTTTGAGTGATAGAAAATTTTGCACATTCTAAAGCCTCATTAACAGTGGTATCTTAATATCATTCCAAATTTGTTTCATAAAACCCAACAGTGAATACAGCTATACCAGGTGATTTGAATTCTTCATATGTTTAGGAGAGGAGAGACATTCCTGCATTGTTAAGGTCCCTCACAGTAACCCACTTCTTCCTCATTAGGTTTAGTAATAAACGGATTGTCATGTTGAAGAAATGTGTCCCTGTGAGTTTCAAGTAACAATGGATTAGAACTAGTATATAATTTAAAAAAAAAAGTTTTTGTTCAGTTCTAATATTTCTTTGATCTGTTATCTCAGACGCATCCTCCAGAATAATATTTTCTGTGTAATGTTTCTTTCTCCAAATTACAAAAAGAGCTAGTTCGTTTTCCCCCCTCTACTTGTCATCTTTCCTTAGCTCTTGTAATTATCCTTTTGTCTTTCTTCCCTTAATATTTTTACTTCTAATTCAACCCCTTCCATTTCTTGGTGTACTGATGGCAAGTTATTCTCCAAGAGTTTTTTTTTATCTAATAATGATTGCTTATATATAAATTCTTTTTTTTTATCTCCTTCCTTCTTCTGAAATGACGAAAATGAGATTGCAAATCCGCGGACTTCCATCTTGATCATATCCCATAAAAGCTGATAGCTTATAGTAACCTGTTTATCCTCTGTCTCAATATCCATAGATGGATCAGACTCATAATTCTTGAGTGACAGTTTTGATGTCCCCTTTTACTTTTAAAAAAAATTCAGCTTCCTTCAAAAGACTGTTATTAAATTTCCATGTACCCTTCCCTCTTATCTGGCTCAAAAATCTTAAATAAATAACTACCGGAGAATGATCCGATCTATAACTGATCCTTATAACTGATGAAATTACGAATGCTTCTATATCAGATGTAATCATGAAGTAGTCCAAACGACTTTGTTTGTTATTTGGACCCCGGCACGAGTAACTCTTATCAAACGGGTGCTATAGGCGCCATATATCTAATAAATCAAGATGATGCATTACATTACTCATGTATCTTGGCTTTTGATTGGGGGGTAATTTACACTTCTATAATATAATATGTCCATGTCATAATCATGAACAACATTCCAATCTTCCACCACTACAATTTACGAATTGCCATAGTGGGATATTTTGTTTTCTATGTTCTCAAAAAAGACTGGTCAATCATTATTGTGTCCATTTATTGCTGCCAAAGTTATACGGTAGTCCTGAATGGTGATATCTAATATAAAAAAAATATATTTTTGAAAAGAATAGCTACCCCTCTACTTTTACTAGAATAAGAACTAAATTTCCCCACATATCCCCATTCATGAAACCATTGTTTTTCTTTTTCAGATGATTTATGACTGTCTACTAATATAGTTATATCATTATAAGTCCTTATATTTTGTAAATATATCAATTCTTTTAACTGTTTCTGATAAACCCCTTGCAGTTAACACTACCAAAAATTATAGTCGATTGCTTGATTGATTGATTGGTATTTAACGCCACTTTCAACACTATTGTGATATTTCATGGAGGTCAGTTTTTATTGGTTGAGGAAGCCGGAGTCCCCGGAAAAAACCACCGACCTTTGGTAAGAAAACTGACAATCCTAGTCAATTAAAATTAGAGTCGAGTGCACCCGCACGAGCGGGGTTCGAACTCACAACCTCAGTGTTGACTGGCTAGTGATTACAGTAGTTGAACTACTTAGACCACTGGGCCACCGAGGCCCCCTAGTTATAGTCGACATGATATGAAAAAATGGCTAAAAAAGAGTAGCAAAAAAAATATAAATGTTTACAAGCACAATATTTCAAAGCAGCATTAACAAAACATACACATGTGCATCTATATGTAAAAATTGGTTCACAATGTATCAGTTTTTTTACTTAAAGTTACCCTGAACCCCAAAGAACTTTTGTCGAGAGCCCATAATATAAAATAAGCAAATATATTTTTGCTAAAGTAGAAATAAAAAGTATATAAAAAATTTCAGGGAATCTCAAAAATTTTGTACGGCAATTTGCGCGTTTTAATTTTTTTAAATTTGTGTATCATTTGTATAAAAGAGAAGGCAAACCAAAAGAAAAGTAAATATTAATAATTATCAATAGAAGAAAAAAATAATGAAAAAACCCAAACCCCCAATCCCAACAAATAAAAAAAACAAAAAAAAAACAACAGCAAATACCAACACACATTCATGTACTCATACAATATATACAAAACACATACAATTATATATATACACATGCACCCCCACATACCGATATGAGTTCATATATCTATATATCAATATTGCTGACCCCACCCTATATGTACATGCAACTCTCCCATTTTAATGCTATTTGTCGGGAATGCAACTCGCACTTTAACATTTATTGTTCTATAATAAAATGATTCATTCGTTTGATATGTTTGAGCTTTTGATTTGGACATTTGTTAAGGGAATTTCACTTTTGAATTTTCCTTGGAGTTTGGTATTTTTGTTATTTTACCTTTCGCTAAAACTTTTTTACATTCCTTTTTCAGTTGAATTCGTCCAAGTTATCGGTCTACCTCGATTACACTATGGGATAATAATATTGCTTTTGGTTAAACAATAATTATCACATAGTGCTTTAGTAAACACGTTTTCTCAATCAATAGAACTATATACAGTCTGTACTACTCCGCATTTATTAGAATATCCAGGGGTATGTGAAATTGGGCGGGTTTTCGAGTGAGTTTTTGTCGGACCGACAAAAATTCAACTTGTAGAAAAAAGGTAGATACTTAAAAGGTAATTTACAATGATAAATTATCGCAAAAAAGACGTTAAGAGTTGACCCTGATCGTATTCATTCGTATTTGATATACACAATGTCCTATATTTGTGAAGAAAATGGTGAACCAATGTTTTGGTGAAATCTGTAGATACTGCCGCTTTAAGATAACTAAAGAATATCAATTTGAAAAACCTTTCAGACCAGGATCGATACTACTCCTGGTGGACGTTTCGTCCACGAGTGTTTCACCAAAACAGTAGTAGGCATGTCTATTTCATGAAATATCATTGACACGTTGATGTTTCGTACATTTTCAATTTTAAAATGTGTAATTATTTAATACAAAAGCATTTCTAACCCAGACATAGATAGCCTTGGACGTATGTAATTGGCATAACTGTTCGGAATATTTGGTTTTCTGTACTAAAACATCTTTGTATTTCAGCTGGCCTTCCAACTATTTAATTTCGAGCACCACATTTGAGTTTTATGCAGAGTAAACGCGCGTCTGGAATACCCAATTATACGCAAGATATCTTTTTCTTGTTATTGTTTTAAAATCATTGAAGCGTTTAACATCAATTTATTACAAACTATTTGTTCAATAAGTTTACATTTGACGTATTCTTATATCAAAGGATTTTTGGAAAATTGTAAGTTGCAAATTGTTATGGAAATAATCATGTAGTTGCAATAGCTTTCAATGTATATGCCTATTCATGTACACATAATTTTAAATTTTGAGTAGAAACCTGTACATTTTTCGACTCTGAAATAACTTCATGTTTTTTTACCTGAACAATTAAGTGCCGTTTACCTATTTTTAACAGTTTCTGTTTGATTTATTCAAAACCAAAACATGCACAAATATATATATTATTGAACACATCATATATCTACACTAACACATTATTTAAGCACGACGACATGACAACAACAGGACACTTGATGAAACGAATCAATGTTTAACTAAGAGAGAGAGCCGTAGTATACCAAAGTGATATTCAAACTCATAATATTAAAACGACATGATATGGTACGATTGCCAATAAGACAACAATTCGCAAGAGTTCATATAAAGCAAAGATAGGTCATCGTACGGCCTTCAGTTATAAAATGTCTCATTAATACAAAGAATAAACAATTCAAAATGGAAAACTAACGGCTTAATCTATAAAACAAAATTATCAAAAACAAATATGGCAGACATGAAACAACGACAATCACTGAATTACAGGCTTCTGACTTTGGACATGTACATAAATAATGTAGCGTGAGGGTAAACATGTTTGTAAAAGCTAACACTATTGTTCCAGGTCAGTTGTAACAGCACAACATTAGAACAAACTGTAAATCATTAATAAATGGCTTAACTAAATGTATCAGTACGAAACACAAAAAAAACAAAATACATAAACACAATGATACGAAGCACAAATATAAGAGTACTGGCTAATACTGATAGGTAGTTTAAAGCCAATCACAACTTATACATAAATCTTGTTCTCCCAGACTAAAATATCAATCGGTACACATCCAACGGATTTATTCTGAAGACGTCATTAACAATCTGAGAAATACATGACCTTATGTAATGCCAAAATTTAATTAAGCAGCATCGAGAGGATGTTGCATCATTAGTGCGCATAACTGTATACCAATATATAATTAGTTGTTTTTATAATTTGTAAACTGGACCAATGTAATGCCAATACAAACAATATATAAAGATTTTACTACCGCTAATAAACCAATTTAGGCCTTATCAATTTTTAAAACAATGATCAATGAATTATCAAGTCATGTCAGACTTTCAGTAAACTTTCAGACTAATTCAGTACTGTTGAAACAAATCACACGCGGTCAATTAAGATCTGCTCAGTCCATGTATAGCGGTTGTTTCTACCTGTACGCCTTAACAACATACTGAATTGTCTGAAAAAGAAGAACAGTTCCGAACTAAACGCAGTCGATTAGTCTGAGAATTGACTGAAAGACTGAACATGACTTAATACTTTATTGTTCAGACTTTCGATGTAAAGTTGTGTATAGATTTACCCGTGCGACACAGAAAAATCCAGAAAAGGACAACTATTGCCTTATGAATTTGATTTATTTAAAGTTAGTTCCTGTGGGAAAATTTTCGCAGTAATAATAGAAAATTTGTGATTATCTAAAACAAAAAATATGAAAAGGGAGGATATCTTTGAGAACTTTTCATATGCTTATGTGATGTTAAAATTTATGAATGAATATATTAATGTCATGATTAGACATTGTTATTTGAGCGTATTCAATGTCACTATATTATTCTTTTTACATGATAAGAAAAAATGACAGAAAAATGACAAAAATTTGGGTGTATTTTTCTGTCTCAACTGGGCAAAACACATCATGAGAGAGGTGCCATGTCAACCATACGGAATGTTTGGCTTCTGATCTCTTTTAAGTTGTTGTGGGTTGGTAATAATTAATTTCTACAAGAATAAACAAATTCTGAGACTATGCATGTCTGACCCCCTTATGAAAACTCTGGTCCTTACAGAGAATTTTTCTTAAATGTGTAATGTTTATTGCAAGATTAAGACGAAATTTATCACGAATATCTACATGCACCACCATTAAATTGATAAAATTGTGATGATCATAATTTTCTTACTGTGGAAAAAACAACAAACTGATTACACAGAGGCTGCACAATATATATCTGAAACTGATGAAATTGCACAGGCAGCTGCTGCTTTCGGTCAACAGTAAAATGGAGATTATCCAAGTATCAATATGTCAAAATAAATGAAGACTGTGGTTAAGCAAAAAGTCACAACTAATCTGAACAGAAAGAAACCATAAGTCGTATACTGTGCATGCGAGAACTATTAACAAAATGTAAATATATGCATTTGATGGCTAAAGCGAACTAGATACACATATACTTTTGAATACAGGGAAGTTTCCATGTGTCATAGTCTCGTGTTGAAGGATAATTATTTTCTATACTAACGTCTGATGTAACTGATGTATAATTTAAGATAAAATACTGGCACTTTTAATGCATATGAGATCTGTATTCATGTACTGTTATGAATCACAGTTTATGGCCAAACTCAGTAAAAACCCGTCTAAATTCCATTTAATTGATAAATTCAAAAAAACTTACCGTTATCTTGATGACATGTTTTCATTAAATAAGCAGGAATTCTCTGAATATACTGCCGACATTTACTGGGAGGTACGTATTTAAATAAATGAAATATGAACAACAATCAGTGATCTGTCGTTGATTTGGATTTGAAATTCCACACAGGAACGAAACTCTACACAACAATTTACCACAAAAGGGACAACTCTTGTTCCTATTGTTAATTTTCCTTTTTTGGGAACACGGTGATGAGTCTTTGGCCCCATCAGACGGTGTTTATATATCCCAATCACTGGTTAATCATTAAGTTTATTATCACAAATAACTATAAACCTTTACTAATATTGTCATAGAAACAAAGATCTTATTTTGCCGTTTGACTGTACCTGTCGAAAAACGTTCTACAAACGGAATATCAAATCCTAATTTGTACGGTTATTACTTAAATAGCCGGTAAATTTAGACATAATCCATGTGGGCTTATCGAAACTTTGGATAAACTTATTCCCAAATAGTTTCAATTTAACACTGTAAATAACTGTACTAACATTTTGTTGTTTATAGATTAACATGATTACCACATAACTAAATATTATTGCTATACAGCTATGTGTACTACATTCTGTTGATACTGTACTTATATTTACACATTGCATAAGTTCTTGTTTTCCTAGACGGTTTATGATATTTTTATTCTAAATCTATTAGATGTGTACTGATTATATTTTGTCTTTGAATAGATGATTTATCTATCAGTTGCTCTTGGCTTTTAACTAGCTTTCAGTAACTACAAAGTCTGCTTTTTATTAGTGCGGATCCTGAAGTATTAGTTTTCTTTTGTTCATACTTTGTAACACATTGTCCAAACATAATATGTTAAAGAGAGGCGAACCTAAGGGACATTCAAACTCTAAAGTCGAAAATAAACTGACAACGCCATGGCTAAGAAAGAAAAAAAGACCAACAGACAAACAACAGTACACAAAACACAACATTGAAAACTTAAGACTGAGCAACACGAACCCCACAAAAAACTGGGGGATATCTATGTGCTCTGGAAGAGTAAGCAGACCCTGCTCCACATGTGGCACCTGTCGTGTTGCTCATGTTAGTACAAACCCGATGATAAGTCTAATTTGGTAGGTCATATTCGGGGAAAAGGGGACAGGATTGTAGTTACGACAATTGGAACATATCCGTTGTCATCTGTGAAACAGATATTCCATAACGGTCAACCACTCCTGATGGCGTCCGTTAATTTATGAAGGAATTATGTTAACTTTGGCCAGTTCTTCTCATAAAGTTTAAGTCTATATGCATAACAGTTGAATACATTTGTCCCTGAGAAGAATTTGAATGCAAAGTGATATAGAACCAAATGATATATAAATAAAATACAGTTGGTTATCTGATACAACTATGTAAAATTATTTTATACTTAAGTAAAAAAAAACAAATAATATTTGTCAGAGAATTGGTTTTCGGTTGGGTTCGTGTTTCTCAGTCTTTAAAACTTTATGTATTGATTTATGAAGATTCGTCTTTTCGTTGTTTTGCGTTCTTTGTCATGATTGTGTCGGTCTCTCTTTGTCTTATGAGTTTGATGATTTTTCGGTATCTTCCGCTTTTTGATCAAACTATCTTTAAGTGATATGATGTGTGCGTCTTACAATAATCTAAAATACCAAAAATGGTACAATCAATTTTATTTGGGTTGTACTTTAATCACAATTTAATAATATGACAAATAATACAAAGGTCATACAGATGTCAAAATCATGTCTACTACAACCGAAAAGTATCTTATCAATATGTCATATAGCCGTAAAGCCCCAGGAAAGACTATCAAATGTCTGATGTAAATACTCAAACAAAGACACAATAGGAACATGTCGCCAGTGGATTCAAGATGCGCCCTAAACCTAAATAGCAGCTGCTAAATTCAGTAGTACATTATTGTGACAAAATAAAAACAGAACAGGAAGACACAATATTCTACACTGTCAAAAGTAAATAGCCCACAACAAACAAAGTCTACGAAACTTTACATTTTTCGAAATACTTAGGATTTTCTACCCCAGGAATAGATTACCTTAGCTGTATTTGACAAAACCTTTCGGAATTTTAGGTCCCTAAGGTTCTTCAATTATGTTCTTTATTTAGCCTTTTTTACTTTTTTCTTCGAGCGTCTCTGATGAGTCTTTTGTAGACTAGGCGCGCGTCTGGCGTACACAATTTTAATCCAGGTATCAATGATAACTTTATTTACATAGATGCCTACGAATTTAGCAACACGAATCCCAAGACAAGTTTGATTCAAGAGTGTGTACGCAAAAAAAAAAAAAAAATCGGAAGAAGATTGAATTAAATCCAATCAAAATGTTTGCTATTTTAATTACCCAAAGATTTATTCATATATTTTTGCAGATTCAGCATCTGATAAACGTCCATTTGGAACCACAATGATTAATAACTCGATATACTTCAAATTTCTATTATTTCTGATGATAATCATTTTGTTATTCCTTTTAACATTGAACATAAAGATTGCGCATAATAAGGAACCGACATTGCCAGAACATGTGACCTATATTGACGAAATAAAACATGTGCGTAAGATCTGCGGGGAACTTTGTAATACCTCTCGTACTGGTATTCCGGGTAAGTTCTTTAACAAAATAAATGCAACGGTTAATTGCAAAGCATTATTTGAAAACGAATATATAGATTCAACACATGGTTTTCCACTGGCTCCAAGAAATATTCCTAAAGTTTTTCTACAGGAGTTTACTATGGGAGGAAAAATAGAAGTAAATAGAGCCTATTTCAATCAGCCGTATCTTGGAAATAATGCTAGAACCCCTATCTGGACCAAATCCTTAATTTCTGAGTATTTATCACAAGCGAAGCTAGGAAAATTATTTGGTACTTATGGCATATCTGAAACAAATGCATTAAGAGATGGACTTAGACATGCACCGGGTGTAAAAAACGGACGCATCCTAGTGATTGGGTCAGAGAAGCCATGGGTTGAAGCATGTTTGCTAGAAGCGGGCGCAAAAAATATCGTTACACTTGAATATGGCAAAATAAAGTCTGAACATGAGCAAATTACAACAATGGTTCCGTCGGAGTACAGACGTCATTTTTTAGATAACACACTTGGATTATTTGATGCCGCAGTATCTTTCAGTTCGATCGAACACTCCGGACTAGGAAGATATGGTGATGCTTTAAATCCGTGGGGTGATTTAATTGTAGTTGCTAGAGTATGGTGTGTAACAAGGAAGAATGGATCACTTGTACTTGGTGTAATGTACGATATTAATCATGATTTTCTAGCCTTTAACGCACACAGGTGTTATGGAAGAAAGAGATATCCGTATCTGAGTACGAATTGGAATCAATATTATTTAGGAAAAGGAATACAACGAGTTCATGTTTTTACAAAATAAATTATCGTATTCCATTGAAAGTTAATATCCTTCCTGTTTAATTCTAAAAAAAAAGATATTTTTGTTTGTTCATGCAATTTGAAAAAAATGTTGTAATCAGTTGTGTGTAAAATGAAAAGGGAATCGGTAAAAGTAATAAGTGTTACGAAACATACACGTTAAACTTTGTGCTTAATTTTGATGTAAACACATGGGCATACAAAATACTTAACTATACTAAATCGGTAGATGATACTGATTCTGTTAATTTAATACGGAGGAGAGTCACAAACTTATCATGAATACTACTTCTTGTTTTGCTTTAGTTTAGTTTTACTCTGTTATTGTTTTTGTACTGCAATATCCAATGATTTTGTAACAAAAGTAGCAACCAACACAGTTAAATCATCAAACTAATCAAGCAATGTATAAACTTAGAACTAAAAAGCGTGGCCATTTTACAAAAGAGAGGCGAAAGATACGAAAGGGACATTCAAACGCATAAGTCGAAATTAAACTGACAACGTCATGGCAAAAAAATAGACCAAAGGACAAACAACAGTATACAAAACACAACATAGAAAACAAAAGACTGAGCAACACGAAACCCATCAAAAACCGGGGATTATCGCAGGTGCTCCAGACTTGTAAACATAAATTATCCTGATCCTCATGTGTTGAAATTCAAGTTGACAAAATTATGAAATGTAAGAAGCTTGTTTAATCCACAGCAACATCAAGACCACATGTATATATTATTCAGTGAAATGAAGTAATTACTAGTAAGTGATTGGAAGTGTGTCTCCAGGATTGTTATGTAGTAATCAAATCAATTAAGAGTTTAATTTAAGTAGATGATACATATATATTGTATAATCGTGGTTTATAGATGAGTGGTTTGATTCCATTTTAAAATAGTGTTGTTTATTTTCTTAACCCATTTCTTCGTATTCCGTAATAAACAGACAGCATGCAGGCATTATAAAACTTTGGTCAGGAGTTCACCATGAAATAAACAGCCCAGATAAAGGTGCATGCTTCAAATTTCGTAAGTATATATCACGTGGGAAATGAATTGATAACAGTCTTAGATAATTGCTCATTGTGTTAACAGCTTTTAAAACATCTTCTCAAAACAACTATAAAAACATCTTCTCAAAACAACTATAAAAACATCTTCTCAAAACATATCTTGTTGGTTATTTCTTTTCAACATTACGTAGAAAAGACCATGCGAATGACGACATTGACATACTTGGAGTGTTTGTATATGCAACCGAAATTTCAACAGGGAGGTATGCAGATGTACACGAGTCACAATCAATTTCTCATTTTGATGGAATTTGATTAATAGCTATAATACGATATGTGTCACTTTTAGATTGTATTGAAACTGGTACAGATGAAAAGGATAAACTGATCAAATAGTTGATATATTATATCAGACGCTTTGCAATTATTTAGTCATTTACAATGTAGAAATGGATGCTTAATTTCACATAGTCGTAGTACTATGTATATAGTATACACATGAACAATAAATCATAATTTGTCGATGGTTTGTTAATTACGCTTGAGTTTCGATTGTTTGTTTCTTCTCGTGGTACTTAATGATACGTAGTGATTAATGGTTTCAAAGATATGATTGCACTGGTAGTACCAATAGATTTGGAAGTGTCTTGTCAATGTTGTATACATTGATCTTCCAGACAGGTCAGTTAATTGTATTTAAATTATTATTTTCTAGATGAATCCCATTGATCTGAAATTTGTTGTTTAGTATTAGATAATGTCCACTGTGTAGCATCACCACATAAGTACCCCGAAGTAAAGATGCAATGATAGCAAAAAGTATCTTTTCTAAACCCCGTACAGTAAACTACTATTCGCCGCTTTTCGCCGTACAATTTATCCGCTTTATTTGCATTATTTTTCTCTGTAAACAATTGTTTATTTCGGAATACAGTGTTGTTCAAGCTATAAAGGGGCATTAGCTACGAGATATGAAAAAATAGAATATGATTTTGTTTGGTTCAATCATAAATAAAAGTGAAATAATGAAATAATAATTCGCTTTTAACAGCCAATTTGGTTCAATTTTGTCAAAATAAGCAAAGAAACATCGCTGATAAATTATTCACTTGCAAATGAATAATTCGACCTCATTGAATCCGTATTCATGTGACCTTCAATTTAACCCATTTGCTAGAGACTGGTTACGCATGTATTAGTCGTGTTTAGCCATTAAAAGGAAAAGAATGTCAGCATTTAAAGTGAAACAAAGGTGAGCCATTTCGTTGACTGATTCGATCCACAAAAAATCATTCTTATACAGGTAAAAACGATAATTAACTTATTTTTTTAACCTATAACATGAAATCAAACAGACATAGAAAAATCCAATTGCACGAGGTCGCTATCTATATATATACGCCATCTTTTTTTTCATCTATTTTTGTTTATGTTTATATCGGATTATGTGACCGTCGGCAGTCTTTGGAGGTCATCTCGATAGTTAATTAGATGGCGTCTAAACTAAAATACCCACGACATTCTGATATATATTATCGCGTACATGCATTTTAACTGTTTATTTCAATTGTATTGTATTTTGGATATACGTTATAGTATGTTGTAAATCAAATATGAGAATTTGACAGCTAATGCCCCTTTGATATACCTTTGTTCTACGAAAACGTCAAATGAATAGTTGAAGGATTAATGTGTGTTTAACAAGTTTTAACTCGTTACATGCTTCTTTTAACACGCATCCCCTATCTGATTCTGACGATTTTAAAGAGAGACAGCCAATTAAGGATCATAATCAGCCTTAAATAGTAATTACATTATTAGGGATACGTATCAGCAAAACGTAGAATGTAGTGAAAATAAGAGGAATTTGACCTTACCTGACTTCATATTTGTTTTTTTCCACCGCTTCGGGGGTACCTATATCTGCTGGTGATGCTACCCAGTGATGTAGCATACACTGGTTAATAATCGATTTCATATATTATCCATACAAGTGAATAGCTTATAAAGTTTATAAGTTTATTCATAAACAAATCCAAATTAATTTACATTTGTTTTCACTCGATACATTATCATATATCTGAATAGCGAAACATCCTTTATTGCTTCGCAATTGATGTCTCCACATATTCACATGTTAACAGTTTTAAGATTTTATTATTGTGAACGTACGTATATTTTCCACATTTTTAGAACATGGAGTCAAAGGCAGCAAAAAACTAGAAATCATTTAATAAGAGTTCGTAGTGTTTCATGAAATTCGCTTTAATGCATTGATTTGTTTTGAATGCAAATTTTGTTTCTTCTTATTATTTATATCAAATTGTTTTATCATTTACATGTTTACTGTGATCACATGATTTATCAGTTGTTCAGAGAACGTCAGAATCTGTATATTATCATGTGCGATATGAAACAGAGATGTTGCATCAGGTTGTATTGAGTAAACCTTACACGATACTTTATAGAGCATTATAATTACTTATTAAGTGTCACTCAGCAGCATCACGTTCTATACAGAAGGCTCTTACTAAGTTACTTGGCTTATAAATTATCACCATCGTCTCCTTATACTTCACGTTTTGATGCTATTCAGTTTTCGGTTCCTCGGCCTTAATTTCTTATATTCCGAGTTACAAATGCTTAAGTAACTTTCAGGTGTCCCTAAAGGATATTTGTCGATTTTTCGAGATGCAGATCTTATTCAGAACTATTTTGTTATTGAGAGAATAGGAATGGATATGAATATCATGTTTATAATCAAACTCAGTTCTGTTTACACTGCAACGAGAATTACTGATGAAATAAGATTGAAATCATCGCGGTGTACAGGCAAAATTTTATTAGATGGTGTTTTTATTGGTTGCAAAACATAACAGGACGAACAAGTCGTTCAAACTTAACAACGTCCTCTCCACAAAAATTCTATTACGCAACCGACATCGATTACAAGCAAATGAGTAAATGTTAGAAAGGATAAGTTATATCAAATCGTGAAATAATTTCTCAACATCATTTTGTTGCCGTCCTTCATCTCAAAGTCATAGTGACTACTTCAACAACGAGCAAACATCTACAAGTTTAGACGACTGCTAGCATCGGACGGAGAGAAATTATATTTTGTCAATCACAAATCATGTTCACGTATCGCGTTTTATAGATATTTTCAAATACATCTTTATCTAAACAAACAAAAAATGAACGGGAATGCATAAGCTGAAATTGATGAACTTCTTTATTTTACATGTAATTCAAACACTACTGAAGATGTTGGCAGCCTTGAATTGCCCTCAGGTTTAGGGGTAATCTTCAGAGACTGCAATGGACGCCTAAACCTTAGCATCAGAGAAATTGCAAACCTAAATTTGTTGTCATGAGTTTCAAAATATTTGCGCTACAGTTACATCCAACCCCTTTTTTCGATAAAGGTCGTTTTGAACACATTACACATACTTTATGGTTGCCAATATATTTTAAAGGTCTAGTTCTAGATTAACTGAATTGGCTGATTGGTAAAAATATAAAAAAAAGGAACCCTTTTGATGATATTGAATTAGATGCACATTATGGAAAGAGTGGCAACATTAGTTATTCTTCAAACATGTCAAATATGTCCTGTTTAGGTAGAAGACAGAAAACAAAATTTGAAACTTTATCTCATAACAACCTTATTAAACAATAATAAAAAGACGTTGCTACTAGTTTTCAAAAGCGTAAAATACTAAAGTTTAAATAATATGAAATGTGAACAAGCCGATAAAAATAAATAAACATGCTTCATTTGATATGTACTTGTCCTAAGTCAAGCCCTGTAATCGAGTGATTGCCGTTGGTTCCTGTCCGTCTTTGTTTCCTTCGTTTTGTATACAGGATACATCTGTTTTATTCATTATTTAAGATAGGAGGCGAAAGATACCAAAGGACATTCAAACTCAGAAGTCGGAAATAAATTGACAACGCCATGGCTAAAAAAGAAAAAAAGACCAACAGACAAACAATAGTACACAAAACACAACATAGAAAACTAAAGACTGAGCATCATGAACCCTCACCAAAAACTTGGGGTGATCTCAGGTGCTCCGGATGGGTAAGCAGATCCTGCTCCACATGTAGCACCCGTCGTGTTGCTCTTGTTAGTGCAAACCCGTTAATCAGTCTAATTGGGAAGGTCACATTCGCGGAAAAGGGGACGGGATTGTAGTTACGACATTTGAAACATATCCTCTTTCATATGTGAAACGGATATTCCATAGCGGTCAACCAACTCGTGATGGCGTCTATAAGATTTACGAA